ATATTACAACTTTATTCACATATTACAACTTTATTCTCATAATATTACAACTTTATTCACATAATATTACAACTTTATTCACATATTACAACTTTATTCTCATAATATTACAACTTTATTCACATAATATTACAACTTTATTCACATAATATTACAACTTTATTCTCATAATATTACAACTTTATTCACATAATATTACAACTTTATTCTCATAATATTACAACTTTATTCTCATAATATTACAACTTTATTCTCATAATATTACAACTTTATTCTCATAATATTACAACTTTATTCTCATAAAAAAAGAATAACAATCTCATTGTGTGGCCCCAATACTCGGTAATAATTTGGTGTATGGTTTGAATGTTTTATTTTTCAGCTACACAACGAGATACAGGACTGTATATATTTTATATAGAGTGTTTCAATGCATATATATCAACATGCATTAGTAAGTGTTATTATGTATAAACAGTCATTTCTATATTTCTGCTATAAAACTAAAATTTCTCACTTTTTTTACCCTAATGCCTATCATACTGCTCTGGTTATGAGAGCTGAACTGAAAACTTAAAAACAAACTGACCTGGTATGACTTTCACAGGCATGCCGTTTTAAATTAGTTCCAAGTAAAGGGTTCCTGTTTGTGTGTTGACCTGACTTTGACTTTCAGTGTTCAGGTCTAACATGCAGCTCCATCTAAACTAGAATAAAACCAATTACGTCCCATAAAGGTTCACTGGAAGTCACACAGACAGGTTTGAACAAATCATGACATAAACTGAAATGATTATTATTACTAATGATTCCTCAGAAGCATGTCACTGATGAGCACTTGACCTTATCAGTCAAGATCTCAGGGTGGGTGGAGCAAAGGCAAAACAATGACTGCTGGCATAAAGCCTGAGTCAACAACCTGTTGACGGAAAGCTCCCTGATATCCTTCCTAGCAGTGTGTTGTTGTAACAGTTTTTTATGTAAGTGTAGAACTTCCTTAAGAAGACTAAAAATAAAATCTAACAACGAAAGTAGCATTCCTTGAAGGAATGTACATCGCCCGCTGCTTTGCATAAAGAGTTCATAAAATCTTGTGTCGTCTGCACTCTGATTACATGTTGGGCATGACTCTCAGCTACTCCCACACCAAATTTGAGATCAGTATATGTGAAACTGTATTACTGTAAGTTTTGGATTTGCTAAGAATGACTAGCTTTAGCAGAATCAGGTTAACTCACGAGATGTTTTCAGACACGCAGATAAAATCCACTACATGTTGCAAACACCATCAAAATAAATATCCACAGATATAATAAATATACCTCTGACTGAGATTAGACAATCACACGTGGAGTTCCTCAGGGTTCTATACTTGGACCAAAGTTTTCTGTTTTGTATGTGAATGACTTGCTAAATGTTTTGGGGCTTTTTTAAGCAGGTTCTTTTTGCAAATGATACATGTTTTTATTTGGGTTATGATGTAGAACAAATGTTGGAGATGATGCAGACAGAATTTGTAAAAACACAAAATTGGTTTAAACTTAATAAATTATCATTAAATTTGGATAAAACTAATTATATGACATTCCGTAATAGAAAGAGAACTGTTGATGTTCCATTTAAAGTTGATGTTGAGATCTGTAGAGTCCGTCAGATGAAGTTTTTAGTGATGAAAACTTGACATGGAGAGCTCACATAAATTATTTAAGAACAAAACTAACTAAATCTATTGCAGTGCTGCACAAAATGAGGGAGTTATTTAATGATAAATCTCTGTATTTGGTGCATAACGCAATAATTGTTCCACAATTAATCTAATGTATTGAAGTCCGGGGAAAAGCATGTAAAACAATTACAAATCCTATTTTTATTTTACAGAAAAGAGCTTGAGAATTATCACCAGAAAACATTACAGTCACCCATCATACATTATTTTATCAATTGAAATTACTGAAATTCTACGATTTGGTTGATTATTATATTTTACAGGTTATTATGTATCAGGTTCACATATTGCCTTTAAACATCCAATTAAAATTTGTTAAGAGTGTTACAGTATTATGATGTCAAGAGATAGAGATATTAGTGAAACCTAAATTTAGACCCAGTTTGAAGGAACGGAGTATTTCAATCCAAAGAATAAGATTATGGAATAATCTGGAGAGTGATGTGAAAAATATCAGGTCAATGTTTATGTTTAAGAGAATGATGAAAGGTGGTTTGTTAAAGAAATATGAATTAATATAATGTGTATTCATATAAATTGTTGTTTGACAAGGCTTTTATGTTGTTTTTGTTTTGTTTTTCTTGTTTATTATTGTTTGAATTGATTTTTTGGGGAAAAAGGGGCAGAAATTATAAGATTTTTTTTTATTTTTCCTGCTGATTGGTATTTTTTATTTATGTAGAATTAATTTTGTTACCTTTAAAGAAACAATTTCTCACTCTGGAGCATGGTTTTCTGTAAGAAAGAAACAGAGCTGGGCACATAGCTGACCTGTCACAAGCTCGTGTTGTTTCTTACAGCAGTGCAGCAAAGTGACCTGGAGGGAAGGAGGAAGAGGAGAAGAAGGAAGGGAGGAGGAGTGACGAAGATGATGTCAGGCCATCCCACTCCCTGTGAGTACAAATACAGCAGAGAGAGAAGAGCTGAGCCTGCATACGGGCTGCTGCTGACGACACACACACACACACACACACACTCCTCAGTTCAACAGCAGACTCAGAGCAGAGAGATGCTCCTGGCTGGCAGTATCTGAGTAAGTGCACTCTCTTCTCCCTCATTGTGTTTTGTGTTTCTTTGTTGTGTGTCCGCTGCTCCACGGCCGTCTGGCCTCATTTAGCTCTACTCCTCTCTGCTGCGCTCAAACAGCCAGTGTTTGTTCAAACTGAGAGACTTTTCAAACTTTCCTCTCAGTATGCTGTGCACATACCTCTCCCTCCTCTTCCTCCTCTTTTCTTCTTCCTCTTCACCTTTTCCTCCTCTCTCTTCTTATCATTTAAACCCTGCACTTATTGACATGTTGGCCTTAAACGTCTGCTTTAATGGTGTGAATCATGTGGCGTTGCATCTGTTTCATGTCTGCGTTTGTTTTTGATGATATGCGTTTCCTGCTGGGTCACTGCTTTAGAGAAAGTTCAAGTTTATTTATATAGCGCCAAGTCACAACATACGTTGTCTCAGGGCACTGTACATAAAAATATAATCTAAAGAAGAAGCCAGCAGATTGTGTTGAATTACTTCATCACAGTCTCCCATCCTGAGCAAACGGTGGAGAGGAAAAACTCCCTGCTAATCAGGAAGAAACCTCCAGCAGAACCAGGCTCAGGACAGGAGACCATCTGCCTCGACCGGCTGCTTGGAGGACAGGAAAGAGACACAAACACAGAAGAACTGGTCCAGGACTGGTCCAGGTGCACCTACTTCTGGAAAAGAGACAAAGAAAAAACACGTTGATAGAAATAATTACAATAAACATGTAGAGAAGAGAGACTAAAGACAAMRGCARAGTGAAGAAATGTGCTCAGTTTGTGCTCCAGCAGTCTAAGTCTATAGCAGCAGAAATGAAGAATAATTCAGGGAAACAGAAAAGTAAAAATAGAAAGTAGAGTTGTGAAACGAGCTGTTTGCTGTCAGGTGGGTTTGTGTGTCTGAGGACGGGTCAGAAACGATGACTGAAACAGGAAAAACACAACATCACCTGCCACTTCTCATGCTACATGTCTAAACTAAAGTTTGTGTTTAGAAATGATGAAGTTGTTGCAGTTTTGGTCAAACCTTGTAAAATATGATTTCACACAGTATCACTCATAGTTACTACCACACCAAATTTTAACACAGTGTGAGACCAATGAGCTGCAGCAACTTAATGTCACTGTTTGAAGTGAAGATATTATAATGTGCTGTGTTCCAAGTATGAGTTGGGATGACTTGTAGCTATAGGAACATACCAAGTTGTCACTTAATATATGTGAAGTTTATGAACTTATTGGGCGGAATACTTCGAAGACCTCCTCAATCCCACCAACATGCCTTCTGTTGAGGAAGCTGAGCCTGGAGACTTTGGGTTGGGCTCTCCAATCTCTGGGGACGAGGTCACTGAGGTGGTCAAAAAGCTCCTCGGTGGCAGGGCCCCGGGGGTGGATGTTGTAGGGTTGTGTTTGCTTACGCAACTCTGCAATATCGCATGGACATCGGGGGCAGTCCCCCTGGATTGGCAGACTGGGG